CGCACACGTTTCCTCGCGTTAGTTAAGGCGTTACCGCGCGAGTTTAACAGGTACGTAACACCTAGTATGTTCACTAGTGATGTTCCCGAACCTTACGAAACGCTTAAGCTATCGATTTTAAAACGAGGAGACCTAACTGATCGACAACGGTTAGACCAACTCTTCCATAACATCGACTTGCAACATGGTTCTGCGACAGACATGTTGCTTAGAATGAGAGAAGTCATCGGCCAACGAACTTTCGATGATGGCCTATTTAGACAACTTTTCTTGTCTAAACTCCCTCAACAGGTGCAGGCAGTGCTTGTTTCATTTCAAAACAATGCCATAGATGAACTAGCTGCATCTGCCGATCGAATCTTGGAAATCACGAAATTTTCTAAGGCCGAGGTTTTTTCCGTCAAAGAAAAACCCCAATCGACCTCGACTGACATGGCCGAACTATGTCACACGCTTACACGATATCTTAGAGTTCGCAATGACCGTAGTCGGTCAAAAACCTCGCGTAGAAGCGTTTCACGTAAGCGATCTGGCTCTCGACCACGAGAGACAGACAATCCCGACTGGTGCTGGTATCATAACCAGTACGGTAAGTTTTCCAGAAATTGCAGGAAACCTTGCAATTATCCGACTTCAAAATCGACTGACACGAATAAAATTTCGGGAAACTTCCCAGCCGGCACGCGTTAACGGCAACCGTAGCCGGCGAACACAGCCGTCTGTTATATGTCACGGATGTGACTACGAAAGTTCGCTTCCTCGTCGACACTGGGGCAGAAGTTAGCGTTCTTCCAGCAAATCCCGACGACAGACTTCGCCAGTCTGTTTTAAGTTTACAGGCGGCAAACGGAAAGCCGATCGCTACTTACGGTAAAAGGTACGTCTACCTTAACGTGGGTTTACGCAAACCCATACACTGAATTTTCGTGGTTGCAGATGTCTCTATGCCAATCATTGGTATAGACCTGTTACAACACCACAATCTACTCATCGACACACGCTCACGAAAGTTAATAGATGGAAACACTAAGTTATCTGTTAACGTAACTCCTTGTTCTGGTTGCAGGTTATCCCCAGTCACGATTAAGCACACCATAGACCCCTTGTACCAATCAGTATTCGACAAATACCCCGGAATATACCAATCGCAATCGAAATTGCCTTGTGTAACCAGCAATGTTACACATCACATCTCGACTACAGGACCACCACTACAGGACCACCTGTATTTTCGAAAGCCCAAAGACTCGCTCCCGAGAAGCTTAGGTTAGCTAAAAACGAATTCGACCACATGATGGACCTAGGGATAATTCGACCATCGAATAGTCCATGGGCATCCCCATTGCACATGGTCCCTAAAAAGTACAGCAATGATTGGCGGCCAACTGGTGATTATCGGTGTCTGAATGCTAAAACCATTCCCGATCGTTACCCGCTGCCTCATATTCACGATTTGACAGCTACCTTGAAAGGTACAACTGTCTTTTCGAAAATCGACTTGGTTAAAGCTTATAACCAAATCCCGATGGCACCTGACGACATTACTAAAACCGCCATAATCACTCCCTTCGGTATTTACGAATTTCTACGAATGCCTTTTGGTTTAAGAAATGCGGCTCAAACCTTTCAAAGGTTTATAGACGACGTCTTCCGAGGTCTCAACTTCGTACATGCATATGTTGATGACTGTCTAATAGCAAGTCCGGACAGAGAATAACATCTCAAGCATCTGGACATTGTTTTCGATCGACTCCAAAGGCATGGCATTACTGTCAACATTCAGAAATGCCAAATCGGAACTAACTGCTTAGACTTCTTAGGACACACTATTGATGCCCAAGACATCCGACCCCTTAGGAGCAAAGTGGCGGCCATTCTGGATTACCCAGAACCGACCACGATCAAGCACTTACGAACTTTTAACGGACTCGTAAGTTTCTATAGACGGTTCATACCCAAATGCGCATCCCTAATGAAACTGTTAACCGATCAGCTTCGTGGAAATGCGAAATCAATTAGTTTAGACGACATAGCCCGTAAAGCATTCTCCACAGTTAAGGAATACATCGCTAAAGCAACCTTGCTTGCTCATCAGGACACTCAAGCGCCCATTAGTATCGCCGTAGACGCATCCGACTCAGCAATCGGAGCAGTCTTACAACAATGGGTTAACAACTCGTGGCAACCTTTAGGATTTTTCTCGAGACGGTTGCTAGACGCGGAATCTAGGTACAGCACGTTCGGTAGGGAACTCCTAGCTATGTATTGTGCTGTACGGCATTTTCAACATTCCATCGAAGGAAGAGAATTCACGCTTTTTATCGATCACAAACCTCTTACCTTCTCTTTAAGTTCATCTTCAGACAAGTACTCACCGCGAGAGTCTCGACAACTCGACTACATTTCGCAGTTTACTTCAGACATACAACATATTTCTGGAGCAAACAATGTAGTCGCAGACGCCTTGTCTCGAATTAGCCCCTTGAACAGTTTCCAAGGAATCGACCTTCTTAAACTCGCTCAGCTTCAAAAAGAAGACATTGATCCTCAGCATGAGTTATCCTCGACACCTCTTAAACTAAGTATTAGGCAGATGGGAACAGGTAAGGAAACCTTACTCTGTGACACATCTACAGGTAGGGATCGTCCAATTGTACCAAAACACTATCGCCGCAACGTCCTCAATACGTTGCACAATCTTTCTCATCCAGGTGCTCGTGCAACAATCGAACTTATAGCCGAACGCTTTTGTTGGCCTGGCATGAATAAAGACGTGAGGGAGTGGGCACGCTCCTGTGTAAGCTGTCAGAAATCTAAGGTAATCAGACACAACAAATGTCCCTTAGGTTCTTTCAAAACCCCTGACGCTCGTTTCGACCACGTCCATCTAGATTTGGTAGGACCCTTACCCGACTCGAACGGATACTCATATCTCCTAACATGCGTAGACCGTTTCACTCGATGGCCAGAAGCAGTACCGATTAAGGACATTACTGCTGAAACCGTGGCCCGCGCTTTCGTCGAACGATGGGTAGCAAATTTCGGCTGCCCTTCAACCATCACTACAGACCGCGGACGCCAGTTCGAATCTGGACTTTTCTGTTCTCTGACCACACTTTTAGGAATCACGCGCTTCCGAACGACCGCCTACCACCCACAAGCAAACGGGTTGGTAGAACGTTTTCATCGACAACTAAAAGCCTCATTATCAGCTTCAAACGTTTCACAGTGGACAGACGCTCTTCCACTCGTCTTGCTAGGTATCCACAATGCAATGAAAGCTGACATTGGATACACGGCATCTCAACTCGTTTACGGAACGACACTCCTACTCCCAGGAGAATTCGTGGATCCTTCAGCTTCTTCATTGAACATGGATCTAAACTCTTACACGAGTAGGCTTACAAACGCTATGCGTTCAGTTAAACCTGCTCACACTCGACCTCAATCAACAGATGTTTTCGTTCAACCCGAATTACGACATAGTACACACGTCTTCGTTCGTCGAGACTCAAATCGACGATCCCTCGAATCAGCATACGAAGGACCCTTCAAAGTTCTTCAACGCGAACCTAAGTACTATGTAGTCGATAAGAACGGTACGAAAGATAGCGTCAGTATCGATCGACTCAAAGCTGCGTACTTAGAAGGAAACCCTAGCTACGTCGATTTTCCTTCGGTACAAGCAAACGACACAGCTACTACACTCGTAGTACCCTACACGACAACCGACACACAACTTGATACTTCGTCAACGTCGATAGAAAAACCTAAAACAACGCGTTCTGGAAGACGAGTAAGATTTCCAGAACATCTTAACGAATATTGCACGTAGGATATAAGCTTTATCTTGAATTACCCTTCCATAGTTCATTATAAAAAAATTTTAATATGATAATTTTTTATTTATATAAAAAAAACCCAAAAAAAACAAAACATTTTAATCTTTTTTTGAGCGTATATATATACTTTTTATATATAAAAAAACCCAAAAACAAACCATTTTTTTCCAATCGCTTTTACGCTGTTTGTAAGTGTATCAGTTTATTTTTTCCGCTCATCTTGTGTCCTTACGCAAGTACGAGTGTACTTTTCGACATGCACTCACACGTTTTATTTTTCCTCTTTTCCAGGACGGCTGGAAAAGAACGACGAAGTTTCGCAAGGAACCGAAATTTTCATTGTACTATATTTCTTTATTGCTATGTTGTACATTTTGGTCCCATAGTTTAAGGAAAGACGACCAGATGCTGCTAAACGAAGCAAGCTATCAGAAGAGTGTTTGCCAGCGACAAACTCGTTGGGTTTAAACTTCTGGCTGGTCACGTCTTAGGGGCATCACTACCTCACTAGGGGGGGGAGTGATCTGTAGCTGTAAATAATTCCCCAATATCAATAGTTCATTAAGTGTTCGACATTCGATGCTGACCACGTGTTTAAGTGGACTTGTTTAGCTGAAGGCTTTCGGTCATGCATCCGCACCAGATCACGTTTCGACTCGGCGTGGGACACAGCTCCTACGTTTCATTAGCCAGCTTATAGAAAAGGTCCTCGATATATTGATAACGAATCAAATATATCTTCCCTGCCTCTTCTCGTCTGACTTCTGATTTCTATCTGGCTGGGAACAATCGAATTTAGAAGGTGCTACTGGTATCTAGTTGTAAAACTAGAATATCCGTTGCATCATCAACGAGAATAAACAAACACGTTTTCGCAGATGGATTGTGATTTCTCATTTGAATGATGCATATCACATAATTTTCCTGCTATTATCATGATCAAACTACTTCCTGTCTAGCTTATTATCACCTGCATCTCCCTCTTAATTCTCAAAATTCAGCCTCCCAACACAGACTGGGTCGGGACTCAGTCAAATTATTTACGTGCCTTCTGAAACAAATGATTTATTTCAGTACTCGGATTTTAACTATACTATTTTTCTCATCGCAAGCAACGGACCCCTAGCTTATTTTGTTTTAATCACTCAACACTTAAAGCCGTTGTATATGTCAAAGACCCTTCCTTTTAAAGTCTGAAGGTTAGTCAAACATCTGTCTTAACTACTAGGGATAGCATATCGAATGACCTATATAAGTCTTTGTAATTTTTGGATCTAACCATGCTTCAAATACATCATCAGAAGGTGTTATTAGTGCATGTTTTGTTGGAGGATTCCTGCATTTCACTTCATGGTGCAAAAAGCAAGACCCCTGATATACATTTGTACATGTCTTTTTCAATTGAGATTTCCGATGGAAAATTATTTAGGTTAGACATTTTTAGATCATTTTGCTGTTGGTTAAGCTAGTATTTTACATAGTTGTAAATCGACGTGTTGTTATCCTTTCTTTTTTTGAAATCAAATCGGATACTCCTGTAGTGAGAATGTATTCTCTTAGTTTGACTTCTCTGCCTCAAAAGCTTTAGCTCTTATGCATAGGGAGATAGGAAGAAAATTCCACATAAACTGAAAGCGGTAAAAGCCTTTCCCCACGTCCAGAGATTGATCGTTTTTATTTCTTTCATAAACAACTGCGAAATTCAGTTGATCAAAAACAACAAGTTAAAAATGTATACCATACAGTTTGAAAAGAATTTAGTCAGCATTTATGAAAAATACTAGGACTGAAGATCAGAAGTGAGATAAAGTGAATGTATTCCTACCATCATGGTTTACTTTAAGCCTTGTCACACAACGTCTCCAACTTCTGATTTGGTTTATTGCATTGTCTTCAACCACGTAGCCCTCATTTCAAAGCATGCATCAAACCAACGGCTGTTGACTTTATGGGCCGACACCACATTATTGTTTAGCGAGTATTTCAAGAAGAAACAATCTGTCTAGTAAATATTCCAATGAGTACATTAACAGCATAAATTGTACAAAATGTCATCAATCTGACTTCAAAATATTATACAAGTTCCTCTATTAAGTGTAAACTTAATAACAATAATGAAATTACTTAAATTTTGCATTATCTCTAAAAGTAATGTGTTAATCATAAGATGTTAATTACTAAAAATAATCATGAAGGCATAGGAATTAGAAATTTTAAAAAAAATTGAATAGTTAGATGTCACAAGTAAGAAGTAGGGTATCAAATTTTTGGATGCCAAAAATCAGGTTTGTTCATGAGAGTTCATTTGATTTGATACTCATGTAAATTACGGAATCTGGAAGAATAGCCTAGCCTACGCATAATTGAGCGTACTGTTTTGTAAGTGAGAAAAGCACCAAAGACAATATCTTATGCTGTAGTACAGTATACATTATCTGTCAAGTAAATACACGAAAAATGGTCTTGAAAAACTTATTTTACAAATTTTGGGGTAAATTAATTTTATATCTCTCAAAGGACACTCCGTGTTTGCCACCTTTCTTTTTTGGTTCCCATTTCCGCTATACGAGATACTCCTGGAATTGCTAAGAATTCTGGCTTGCTGACCACTTCAAGTTTTATTGTTTTCACTAACACAGAGGGTGACCAGTCTTTTTAGTTTTGCGTTCCCCTTAAATTTATCACGGCCACCACCAAAACACTTAGCTCGATTTCAGAGAAAAAATTCCCCCAATCTTTCATTTCTATATTTGGTCTTCAGTGTCTCTTACCTCTCCTTAGAGTATTATCAGGGTTCATTAAAAGCCTTAGTTATCTCTTTTATTGAATAGACCATTTCTAACGAAAACTTTTCATTGGATATTATCATTACTATATAAAATACCATATTTTGTTGATAGAAGAATAGTTACGACAAAAGTAGTTCCAAATAAGTTGCCTTACATGATTTTTGAAAGTAATATTTCGACTGCACACTTGATAAGAAAAACCTCGAATAATTATCAATTTTTGTTCTTAGAATACTTGATACGTAAAATAAGACAATAAATACCCTTTCAATTTATTTCATTTTCTCCTCTCAACTTAAATCATTTTGTTTGAAGTCAAGCAGACTTTTCTACCATCCCATTATTATTCAGTCGGCGTTGTTCGGCAAAATACTCTTCACAAATGCTTGGTTGAATGATGCATAAAGGTGAGTCATTTCACTTTCTAAAAATAGCTTTCTATATACATAAGATTCTTTATATATTCAACCAATTGAGAGTGTGAATTGGTTGTTACATGCCCTTTATACACAATCAGCATTTTCCAAATGTACAGATATTATAAAACATTGTACTAATGGGCAATTCACGTTAAGTGACGATTATCATTTGTATTGTTTAAGTCTAATTAATCGACTTGGTGGGTGTATACAACAATCTTTAAATAGTCTATTCAAGTGTTTGGAGCATAACAATAAGTCAGTTGATATAATGAAGAAAATTGCAAAGTCATTGTAAGTGTCATTATTGTTGTTATCATTCTTCATATAAATATTTTTGAATAAATAAAATTTGCCTTTTTTGTGTGTAAGGCAGTATGGCGATTTTTAATTTATCAAATTTTACATGTTGCTTTAATCAGGATTAACAGTTTGGCGGCAGCTTAGGCTCTAGCTAATGTAGGTTCTAATCTTCTACTGACTATTTTCGCAAAATTATCACCCCTAAGAGTGAGATAGGTAAAAGCTGGTTTTTAGTTTTTCTTTAATTGTAGACAAGTTCCCGAAGTTATTCGTCTCTCAGAATCGTTTCGACGTCTGTCAATTCTCCTAGATCGCTAATGGTACATATCCTTTCTGTCCTATAAAATAATACGTTAACCGATGCTTTTTTATAACTGATTATGCAGAAGACATTAAGATCTAAATATGAAATAATTCAAGTACTCTTCCAATAAACTGATTGTTGTATCCCCTGGCGAATTATGAATCATAAATCTGAGGTCCATTTATGGACAAATGTAATACGCCTATTCCTATTGGATAGTTGTTAAATAAGTGACTAAATCTGAGGTCTATTTATGGACAAATACAATATGCCCATTCCCTATTGGATAGTTGTTAAATAAGTGACCTAATCGTTTCCGTGTTCCTCTTATCATACCTTTATTTTGACCTTGGAACTATTATTATTGATTACTTTCCCCCTAGCTACAGCCACATTGGCCAATTACTGTACAAATGTTATTTTTCTATTTTTGATATATGTGGTCTGTTTGGTTAGTATATATAACCCAGTATGCTTGTAAATAATGATTCATATTGCTGAGGCTGTTATTTGTGTTCTGGACTTAATGGGCTGGGCTAGGCAGGTAGGAAGGACCGAATAGCACCCAAGACTGCTCGTACGATTTTATGTATTATTGGACGTTTATATATTAAGAGGGCACGCGCAAGCAATCGATATATCAAACAGAAATCTATACGTTATAACACTGATTAATTACTGTACTATTTCTAAGCATCACTTTGAACATAAATATGACCTAATCATTGAAACGTATGTATCATGTGTACTTTTGTTTCTCTACAGGCATCTACAAGGTCATCATAATGAAGCATTGGAAATCTATCAAGATGCTTTAAAACTTAATCAAAATGATTGGGTAATAATCTGCTAACTCCATCTTCTTACATTTTTGTCAGGAAATACCATTTGGACAAGGTGTATGTTATTTCTACATGAAACAATTTGAATCGGTTAGAGTATAGTAATAAATTATCCTGATTCCATTCAATTTATTTCTTTAGGCTGAAAAGTATTTTAAAAAATCATGTAAACTTACCAAAAGCATTAAACCATTGAAATGGTTAGCAAAAATTCATTTAGAAAAGAGCTCAATAAATTCTGCTATCGCAACGTTGAAGAAAGCAACCTCGTACGTTGAATCTCCCTTTCCCTCTCTATCTCTATATGTATATATCTCTATAAATATAAACGAGGAATTCAAACAGTCACAAGTTATTTGGAATTGTGAACAGAAACTCATTTTCGTTATTTTTCACACAACGAGATACACCATAATATTTTATCGATCATTAATTTGAGCAATTATACCTACATAGTTCTGTACAACACTTTTAAAGAAAATATCAGGAATAAACTATACCCGCAAAACTTCTTATCGAATAATACTAAACAGTTTCAACAATCAGCCAGGAAATCTCGTTTAATCATCTTCTGGGAAATAGTGAAAATGGAAATTACTAAAGATAAACGAGATTGTAAACATTTGTTCCAACCATGTTTATGGATTTTATTCTAAATGACTGTTGCACCAATGACTAACATAATGTTTGTGTAGTTCTTGACCCTGATTGAATTTTATCCATCAAGAAGTCTTACTATGACCACTAGAGATTGTAGTGGTGTTTTGATAAAACTCGATCAGAACCAAGAATTTAGCTTAAGACATTTTGGTTACTATTTAACGATTGATGTATGTTGTGAATATCTTCCTCTTACAAAAGGAAAATTCTCAACTGGGATAATTTATTGGGAACTTTACTGGCTGTAATACAGGTTTAAATCATACGTAAAGCATGGATTACATGAAGATTGTATAAAAGACATGCTGATAAGTGCTAACAACCACAAGAGTTGAATTAGTTGGATTTCTTGTTGATTGCTTCTTACCACCCTAAATGTGTATTTATTAATTCTGTCTATAGTATAAATGTGAGTTGTTTAGTATCAAACTAACTATGTTCAAAATATTGAATGTGATATTGTGTACACATATGTTTTTAATCTGATATCCCCCACATAAACTGGAATAAGTGTTTTACAACAAATGTAACTCAAGCTTAACTCTAACCCTGGCGAACAGTTCTAACTGAAGTAGGAATATAAGTTTAAGGAATGGTAAGGGGTGATCAGGTTATCCTATGTCATTAATCCAAAAAATCATCGATTCGTTGAACAACCATGTCGAGAAGCGTAAACGTTTAGTCTTTTGGATTCTCTCAATAATCATAATTTAATAATTTCGGACACTATTACATCTCCTAAATTCAGCTGTTTTGGTGAATCTGCATGCATTACTCTTTATGTTCCACTAAGTATTTTTTAGTTGGATATTACTTAATAAATTTCATTCATGTAGAGTTGTATCCCCTTCACCCAAATTTGCACTTCTCTTCGGACTGACCTTCTAAACTCGTACGTCTATATTTATCGAAACGTCAGTGGACTCCTGGAATGTATAGAATATATTCTGTTTAATGTGAATCAGCCGACTATATGCAGCGTAGAAGCTGGCACTTATATATAAATCGGTTCAATTTGTCGCATTATATTAGTATAGGAAGTTGGGATTATCATAACAAAAGCTAGAATAGTAACAGTAGTAACAATATTAGTCGTTGTAAAGAAATTCAGCTTAGTAAATATGATTCAAGAAGAAAATGTTAATTGGCGAAATAAAACACATAAGATAACTTTGAAACTCAGCTTCTGCAAAAAACAATGAGTTAATGCATTTACGCGATTGTAACCAATTTTAAGCTAATTCGCCAAACTTCTCGAACGATAGGTCATGATAACCGCATGAACACTAACTAGGTAGTCCACGTCTACTAATGTGGTCCAAATTAACGATCAATAGCTTCATAAACTGATACCATGTCTTGTTTTGGCCGTCTTTAGCTTTATTCCAAAGTACTAACACAACAGGTAACATTAATCGTCAGGTTAGGTGGTGGTTAGGCATAACCAAGTCCGTCTGGAGCCTTTATAGAATTACTGCTGGTCCTAAGCCCAACCACAGGAGAAATTTTGAACATGGGGTTAACAACCCAATCCCGTGGAAAAGCTATGTTAAGAAATCCTAGGTATGGGTTATAGATATCTCAAATACATCAATTAATAGCGACTCACAACTCCGTTAACCGGTTTACTATCTATGCCTAGAACCCTGCGTCTAACCTCAGCATTGCTCATTCAGTGTGCGCAAAATACAAAAGAAGTGTTTTAAAGGGGTAAAATGCTAGTAAATTACCATTATTCTCTACTTTCAAAGCCTATGTTTCCAGCTAATGAAGACTGCTACCTAATTTGTCATAATGTTCGAGATTAAAAGCTAGAACGTGAATAACAGCACCACGATCGCTATTAGAGATATAAGAGCGATTGTCGCTTCCCAGTTTCCCACACCATGGAATGATATTGATCCTTGGGGTACCTGAAAAGATCGTTGGGTGTGGAATGGTCATGAATATCTGGAAGTATGACGGCAGTATCCAAGTGACAACCGTTTGAAGTTATTCACATAGGACCTTTATGCAACTAGTCTTTAGTATTTTAGCTCCGTACTTTCGAGGCCTTATTGCCAAAGACGGAAATCCATAGAGTAGGGTTAAGAGTACTTTTAAACTCTCCCTTTCTTTATGAGAGGGTAACATCACTGAAGATGCTGGTTATCTCGGGAAAAAAACTTGGCGCCATTACAATCTTGTCCAGTTAGCAGTACTACTTCGTCCTTAGATTTTGACTTGATACTTTTATTCTTACCGCTCTTAAAGGAACCTACCTGGCATGAAAGAACCTAAAGGAATAACTGTTCCAGACAGAATATCTTTTCTCGGTCATCACAATAAGGAAATTTAACCAGAGAATCAAGTTATTAGCTAGGAACGGTCATAAAGTAGGACGGAATGAACAACTGCTTAGTATACTTATTCTTTGGTTGGTAGACTGATATCTTAACTTCACTACAAGTAATCGGAATTAACAAAAACCGATGGAGCTTTCTGAATCTATTCTGAGACAGAACTGATAAGAATCAAAATATAACTGCAGTGGTCAACTCAAAAAACTTCATTATCTATCATCAAGGTTCAGACGAGTTCTGAAGAAACATTTTACACTAATTTTTTTTTCTGAGAATGAAACTATCACGGCACTTTTTCTGCAACATATAATGTAAACTTAAATCTTTTTTTGATAAAACAGACTAGTACCTGAAGATCCGGACATATTATCTAATCTGGGTTTATTATATTTCCAAACCAATCAAGAACAATTAGCATTTGAATGTTTGAGCTCAGCAATTATTTTACAACCGGATCATTTTGATGCAAATCAATTAGCTGGTGTAATTATAACACTGCATAAGGATTATGATGTGGCATTGAATAAATATCGATCAATATTAAAACAATCTTCTGAAAGTTCAATATTATGGAATAATATTGGTGTAGCACTAATGGGTAAAAGAAACCTAGTAGCTGTAAGTCATTAAAATGTTCTGTGATATATATATATATATATATATATATATATATATATATGCTAAGACGAAACGATCGTTAAATGCTTCTACGTTTTCTGTAGCGATCTGTCTAAGATTAGTTTGTGGTTTAAACCATGAAAATTTCCCAAATTCCCTTCACTAATGATAATCACATACAAGATGCAATTTTTGTGGTTACAGTGGGAAGCCATGACTGGTGAGGCTTAATCGTGTCGGGTATGCGGGAGGTACTCGCCAAAGACAATAGAAGATAGTCGTACAATGTCGTAGATTGATCAAAGTCAGACTTGTAAACCTTTGGATTCCAGATTAGATGTCTAGAGGTTAGGCTTTTGTGTGTAAGACCAAGGGTTATGGGCTCTATGCCCGTCTGCGGGATCGTAGGTGGGCAACAATGACGAGTCTCACGCTAGGACGAGATCAACGTCTAGTGCCTCAAGGTTTTCAGTGTTGGTTTACTTAATATCTATTTGTGATTTATGTTATGAAAATTCTACTGATGTACATATATGTCTTAATGGTTAGACTTGATTTTTGCCTATAATATCATTTTAACTTCAGAAATAGATGATTTTTAACTTTCCTCTCTTTTGACAATTACTTTTCACTTTCAAATTAACAGTCTATAACGTGTTTTAAACGTGCCAGTTACTTAACACCATTCGATTGGAGGATATCGATTAATCTGGGCATAATTTACATGCATACATCACAATGGTTAAGTGCATTTCAACATATCACTACATCAATCAATTTGTTTAATTTCATTAAACAAAGATCAATCCAACGTTGCGCTATAAATGATAATGATAACAATAATAATCATAAAATTACTCATGATATTGGCATGTTATATTGTCTTCTGGGTTATTGTTTAATTAAATTAAATGAATATTCCAAAGCTTATGAAGCTTTTATGAATGCATATAAACAAAGCAAGTGAGTCCGATGAGTATATCTGTCTTCTTATATATATGTATATATATTCAGTAATTAGAGGTAGTCAGCTGGAAACCTTAGACAAAGGTTTCATGTTAGTTGATACTCGTCAGTAGGGCGAACTTGCAATCTTTAAGGAACTGATAAGGGTCTAATTGAAAACAATGCTGTTCGGTTATGTATACTATTCTAACTCACATTTTATATTATCAGTTTCACTTTATGATGGCAGAAGTGTTTTTTTTAAATTTTCATATTCTCAGGGCTTAACTAAGATGTCTTACTGCTTGTTTTACATAACATAAGATAAACTTCATCCACTCTTGATGTTTGCTCGCGATTATAACATTCATTTTCTAGGTTCCTATGGTATAACTATTCCCATTGTTTATTTTTATTTATTTAAACACACAAATATTGGTACAAGCAAGCACCAGATACATATGCGCCGCACAAATCTCATTTGGTTTGTGTGAGGGCTGTGATACTGCCCAGATGCCCAAACTGAAGCAGGTGGTTTGCTTAGGGGGCCACACCCGGAGCCTTTGACCTAAAGGTCTACTCCACAAGGCAGTGGAGCATCGTGAGAAGATGCAATCCCATGGTAGCCGGTGACCAACGATTGATTCATACGTCATTTGTTCCTTCAGGATACTGGAGCCCATGTTCACCATTGGTTTTGAATCAGGGTTTTCCAACTCCCCTAGGTGGACTCGCCTTGTCTACCAACCCGGTTAATGCGCCGGACATTCGCTTTTCTTCCCCTCAATTTCGTAAACAAGACTCCTGCCACAAGAAGGCAGTGAGTAGGACTTCCCTGGCAGAAGCTGTATACACGTGGCCATGTGAGAGCATTTCGAGAGGAAGAGCGGACTCTCCCAACTCTCGGCCGTACCAGGGTATTTGGGGGCTATAAAATAAATATTTTTATAAGTATAGCATTTATTATTTAAATTGAAATGTTCTATTACTTAATTATTTACATTTCAGTAAAAATCCTTTAGTGATTTTAAATTGTGCAAATTTTCTTGCCAAATCAAACAAAAAATTGGCCAACCAAATGCTCTCAAAATATAAAAAACTTAGTTTAACAACTGAATTTGAATTACCTTATTGGGTGAATAAAACTGATGTAAGTCGATAATGATAGTTGTTATGCAGACTTAGAATTTGTTTTCTAGAATAAATCACTTAGTTTTGTAAAACCGAGTTAACGATACATTAGACCAATCAGAAATCGACAAAGTGATAAGTGCATGTGATCGACCAGAAAATGCTTTTCGTTTTCAAGGCATTTAAAATTCACCATTGATGGCTTTATTTTCTAAGGGATACATATATATAACTCCGCCTGTAGCTCTTCTAGGGCTACTGCCTGTCCCAAGTCCATTGGACCCAGGCTTGATAGCAAAGGTTAAATACGGAGGAGATGTTGCTGTACTCCGGTCACGAAGAGGAAAATGCTCCATACAATCAGCGAGTTGCTCTGACGTTGTCCAAAGAAACAATAAATGCACTTATAGGATGGGAATCTCATGGATCCAGGATCATGAAAGCATCCGTCAAAATAAAGATGAAGAGAATTGCGATGAATATTGTCCTATGTTATGCACCCATCAATGATAGAAACGACGTCAATAATGATCAGTTTTACGAGAGGCTGCGGTCGATCATAGCGAACTGCCCACAAAAGGACCTGACAATCCTGACGGGAGACATAAACGCCAAAATCGGAATGGACAACACTGGGTATGAAGATATCATAGGATGACATGGACTAACTAGGACAAAGGAACGAGAATGGAGAGAGATTTGCAAATATATGTGCATTCAATAAATTGGTTATACGAGGCGCTATATTCCCTCACAAACGCATACACAAAGTTACATGGATCTCATCAGACCATACCACAGAGAACCAGATAGATCATATTTACACCAGTGAAAAATTCACAAGATCTGTAGAAGATGTGATAACCAAAAGAGGAGCTTCAGATCACCACCTGGTTGTTTCCGAGATGAATCTGAAGTTAAAAAACATTGGACAACTGGAGAAAAAGTATTATAAAATTTTGATACGGCTTTCTTTCATGATACTGACAAACTCAACCAATTCAAGATAACTCTAAACAACAGGTTCCAAGCCTTACAGGGTCTACTGAAAGAAGAAACCACTATGGAGGAAAACTGAGAAGGGATAAAAGAAGCATTAACTTCAACATGTCAAGAGATTCCGGGCCGCAAGAATGGATCTCTATCGAAACTCTGGAAAAGATTGAAGAAAGGATGAACAACCGAACAAGAACAAAAAACGTCAATACACAAGCAGAGTACACAGAAGCAAACAAGCAAATGAAGATGAGCATCAGAGCAGACAAACAGAAATACGTGGAAGAGCAAGCGATGACAGCGGAAAAAGCTGCAAGAGAAGGAAATATGAGACAACTATATGACACGAAGAAGTAACTAGCAGGAAAATATAGTAAACCAGAGACCGGTCAAGGACAAGGAAGGCAAGAAAATTACCAAGATTCAAGAAAAGAAGAACAGATGGGTAGAATATTTCGAAGAACTCTTAAATAGACCAGCTGCATTGAATCAATCGGATATCAAAGCAGAACCTACAGACATTCCTATAGATGTCACTACACCAACGATCGAAGAAGTCAACATGGCCATAAGACAAATGAAGAGTAGGAAAGCAGCAGGACATGGCAATATATAAGTTGAAGCACTGAAGTCAGACATAGAAGTAACTGAAAACATTCTCCACATACTAATCAGGAAGATTTGGGGGGGAGGACAAGTGCCGATGAATTGGAAAGAATGACATCTCATCAGGAAAAAAATGATCTGAGCAAATGTGAGAAATACAGAGGCATCACACTATTGACAGTACCACGAAAGTTTTTAGAGACAGTGTTTTTGAACATAAAGAAAGGTTCAGTAGACGCAAAACTTCGAGATCAACAGGATGGATTCCGTAAGAATCGGTCATGCACAGACCAAATCTCCACACTATGGATCATCGTCGAATAATCAATTGAATGGAACTCGTCACCATACGTAATCTCCAGTGATTACGAGAAAGACATCAAGATTGTGGATAAGAGAATCAGTAAACAATCACGGCGTGTCCTTATCAAGCATGCATGTAAAATATGTTCACGATGTTGAGTTTGAATCATGTCATCTTCAGTGTATGTGTACATAATAAGAAGTTTAGAGTTTCAAGTTTGTACGAATTGTTAAGGTACGCACTAATGCGTTATAATGAGCAAATGATCAAAACGATTATTCATTTGCTCCTTAGTTTTTCATTCTTGTCGAAAATCTAATTTATATGGTCATTTCGCAAACTGATTGAATCTTAGTCTACAGACCACTGAGATCCGACTCAGTTTTATAGTGATTATGTACTGCCAGTGACACTTTACGTTTGATCCGTTTTAGGAGTTTCGGATGTATGATGATTCCCTACTTCAATTGAAACTGTTTAGCATAAACCTCACAGTCAGAACTGCTCGTATTGCGTATTTATCGAGATCATTTACAGATAATTGGTCGTCAGCGTAAATTATGTCTACATATAATGTATTTAGTATACGCGGCAATGTCCATTTCATTTGTCCTTTTCCCTTTTCTAATGTAGATTATTGCAAGTAACCAGTTACCCTGATAACATAATTATTATCTGTCGGCAAACTAACATTTATATTCGTCTGATATACACCACCACACTCAGTGGTGGCGTTCAAAAAGTCAAATTTGGTGAGCCCGACATGTGAGGTTGAAAGAAGGCATAACTGGCATTAAAGTATCTACAACAAAATACTAAAATATTATTTTGCAAATGTCTCATATAAAAGCTTGATTCATGATACGTTGACATTATTACTGTTTCAACAGCTTGAGTCTGATGTGTTTTGTATACAAAATACCATTCAATATAAATATTTAAATATTCATGAAACACACACATCATACTACTTATATTCACTACTTATACTACTATTTACATTCAAATGGTCTCGATTATTCTCCATTCCCTTATTTTTACGCAATTAGTTTTGCATACAAACCCTATTTTCTGTGATATCTATCATTCCGATTTTTCAACTTGGAAACGAAAACTCCCTTTTTCACTTTCAGTCATATCAATTACCTTAATCGACTTACTTTCCGTCATATTTAATTTGTCTTATAACTCGCTGCTTTTTGATACCTTCAGATCATCTAGATGCTCAAAAGATTTTCTAGTGACCGTTTAGCCTATTTTGTTCTGACTCAACGGAACTTTCGTACGTAGTTGATCATGTTAGTTTGTGTTGTTCCTTTTGTTAGTCATATGGCGTTGTTGAAATCACTAGATCACTTTGGTTCACACATGATTAACGAATTCTCGAATAAAAAGCGCTATGATTAAAAGTTATTGATTTCTTACACTTACTGGTCATGTATTTATTGTACTGCATTCTATAGATTTCAGAAGGGATCAGAAGTTCTGCTAGATAGTGAGTTCTAGTATTCAATCATACAATTTACTCATTTATTTAAACACATAAACATTGGTGCAAGAAGGCACTAAATACATATGTACCACACAAATCGTTGGATTTGTGTGACAGTTGTGATACTACCCAGGTGCCCAAACCGAAGTACGTGGTTTCCTTAGGCCACACCCAGAGCCTTCGACCTAAAGGTCTGATCCATAAGACAGTGGAGCAACGTAAGGAGATGCAGTCCCATGGTAGCTGGTGACTAACAATGGGTTCATACACCATTTGTTCTCTTAGGATCTTGAATCCCAAGTTTACCATTGGTCTGAAATCAGGGTTTTCCAACTCCCTTATATCCACCAACCCGATTAAAACGCCAGATATTTGCTTTTTGTCCTCTCAATTTCGTGAACAACACCCTCGCATTCGACACTGTGGATAAGAGAAAATTATGGAAACCTCTTCGACACTGTGGAGTTCCTGAGAACGTCGTCAACATTATCTGGAACTCATGCGACGGACTTTGGTGCCATGTCGTGCATGAAGAACAGCTGATAGACCCATTCCAAGTAAGGACGGGAATCAGACAATACCGTCTACTCTCCCACATCCTCTTTCTTCTGGTTGACTGGATTATGAAGACCTTTACATATGAGGGGAAGCACAAAATAAAATGAACAGGTCGGATGCAGCTAGACGATTTCAACTTTGCAGATGACGTGGCCCATCTATCCCATAGGCATCAACAAATGCAGGTCAAGGTAAACAGTACAGCAACAACCTCTTCATCAGCAGACCTCAACATAAACAAAGGAAAAAGCGAGATCCTCAAATACAACACAGAGAACACCATCCCAATCAAACTTGATGGAGGTGCTCTGGAAGATGTGGAATCTCTCACGCACCTGAGAAGCATAATCGATAAACAAGGAGGATCCGATTCAGACGTAAAGGCAAGTATTGGCAAAGCAAAGGCTACATTTCTACAGTTGTAGAACATATGGAACTCAAAACAACTGTCAACCAATACCAAAGTCAGAGTCTTCAATGCGAACGTCAATACAGTTCTACTATACGGAGTTGAAACTTGGAGGAATAGCATAGCCATCATGAAAAGTGTACAAGTATTTATAAACAATTGTCTACGGAAGATATTGAATATCCGTTGGTCAGATACCATCAACAACAGTCTACTGTGAGAGATGACAAACTAGCTTCCAGTTGAAGGGGAAATTAGGAAAAGACGTTTGATGTGGATAGGACATACATTTCGGAAATCATCAAACTGTATCATGATGCAAGCACTAATTTTGAAGGGAAACGGAAAATAGGAAGGTCAAATAACACATTGCATCGAGAAATGTAATCAGACAAGAATAGGATGAATAACAGCTGGAAAGGATTGCCGAAGACAGAGTTGGATTAGGAATGCTGGTGGACGGCCTTTGCTCCACCATGTGGGGTAACAGGCGTAAGGATATATATATATATATATATATATATATATATATATATATATAAATTTACGTCCTCTCACTTGATCTTTTCTCTTGAGTCGTCTGTTTGGCTTGTGCATAGAAAACTTGTTTCCTATTATCAAACCTCGAACGCTGAATAATACAACAGTTTTCTTTAACTGAGATCAAATATTTCACATTTTTCTTCATTCCTAACTCTTAGTTCATGATGTACCTCTATAATCATCATTTGCCATCGTCAAGGACTCATATACTTTTGCAAGTTATAAACACCATCACATTCATCTTCGACCAAGTTGTTCCAAATGATTATCGATTGGTTTACTGTCCAGTAAACTAGTTTATAGATTTTTTAGAACTGTATCGACACTCTTTCTTACAATGAAAATAATAAAATTTTGTCTTCTTCCATAATAAAAAGTCCCTATCATTTTTTTGTGTTATACTTATTGTTTTAGGTGGATAAATTAGTCAACCAATTGGATACGTATCTCAGAAATATTCAAAGACAAAATACTACAGAATCAACTGGTCTTTTAGAAATTTCAGTGTAGTTCAATTAATATTTGTATACGTGAACATGAATTCTTTTTTTTAACAGTTCTTGTTTTAGCTATTAGCTTTCAGTTGTAAGATATTAAGTACAACCGTCAAAAGGCAACTGTTTAGTTTCCACTTCAAAATTCTTCATTGAATATACATCGTTTAAAGATCTCCATCATATTAAAAGACAAATATTTGAATGAAGAATACTCTTTTCTATAAGTTCTCTCTGCAGGTTCTACAGTTATATATTCAAATTAATAATCCTAAAAAATTTGGCCAGGTTAAGGGTAAAGTATATCTTTTAAAAGCTCGCCTGTAGCTCTTCTAGAATTACTGCCAGTCCCAAGCCCGGGTAAAGGAGGAGCGTTGGACATGGGATTAGCGACCCCATCCAGTAGATAATTAACTCTCTAAAAAAAATTTAACCAGATAACATCGTTTAAAGCATGTAAATTTAGGATTGTCAAACAAAATAGAATTAATAGTATAGTGTGGTCTACTTATATCCATATAAGTAGTATGTGGAGATGGTCAGTCATAGAATGTATTTTGGCAGAAGATCGATAAAGAAAGAACTGCAATGAAGCGCAATTGGTAGGAAAATGCATGAACAATGGAATTAGAGAAGATGTACTAATATTTACAGGAGGAACAGTGAAGATTGAGACAAGTGATTGTTACTTTATAACTTGACTGTTTACTGTATGGTTATCAGAATTTAGTGAGATAGTCTGTAATTGATACTGAAATACATTCGATTGTCCCCAACTAGTGTTTGTTCATTACAATAGATTTTCTAGTGTTCGTTCTGGTTTCCCTTTTACAAAATAGACAATTAATAAAGGAAACACTATTAGTTTAGATAGAAATCTATGTTTCTTCAGTCACAGTCATTAACAACTTAGGATCTGGTGAATAAGTCCATGAAAACAATCCCTTTTTTCAAGGCAAATAAGCAAAACGAGATGAAAATCAAAGTGATTTGAGTAAAGTTAGTAGTATGGTAATGAACAAGAACTCAGTTGGGGATTTCAATTTATTGTTTAATGCGAAACTACAGAATACTTTCGTAAAATACGAAAACCACGTGTTGAATACATAATTTGCACATCTTCCATCAGTTTTCCTTTATATACTTTATGATTCTTTCAATTCTGTTGTTTCTATAGTTACTTTTTGTTTGCCTTTCTTTTCTCTTCAATTAAATCTTCTCAATCTTCCACCGGTATGAGTTTCACTTCTGATTGGTGCTACCTACTACTTATATCTGTCAATATAAATAGCATATGCTATAGTACCAATGTTGCTAATAAAATTGAGCTTAGAAAATGTAATTCAAAAAGAAATAATTGATTTGAGAAATGAAAGGTCCAGCATAACTTTAAGACTCAAAATATAAGGGAGACTTATAAGTGGATGTATCTGCATCGTTGCAACCCATTCTGATTCCAATGTCTTCAACCACTAGTCAAAAGATTGAAAGTACCTCGGACAGGCAGTATCAAACTACCAATTAGGCTTAGGCCAACAATCAATAACTTCATAAACTAATTCCACGTTTTTGTTGGCTACTTTTCGTTTTCTTTCAACCTCAACCTATACTAGTGAATATAGACCGGTGAGGTGGACAATAGTCATCCAGCAATAAAACATGTACCGACCAATTTAGCTGATAAAGATTCATGGCCTCTTCAACCGACTAACCATTTTTATCAATGCTCTGGGTCCAAACGACAACACTTGATAAACCCACCATACCTGATCAATGCTACTAACACACCGATGACCAAGCATTGGTAGCTTACAATTGCCTTCAATTTTTGAAGACCATGTTTCACAGTCCCAAATGCACACCTATTTGTGTGCAAAAGTAAATGAAGTTAACGAGAGGATGGAGATACAGGCTTACGTGAAGAACTATGCACCGAGAATGGCTTCGTTGTTCGACGATGTACTTTTAGTTAGTTTAGTTCATTTAACAAAAGAGTTCAGCATTATTTCTCTCTTCCAGAATTATCATGTAATTATAATTGACACGAATGCTCTCCAAATATGAAAGTTTCAAGTTAATGATAGAAGTACAGATCAACTAAGTAAAACATTGGCTGAAGAAGATAAATTACATCTTATATATGTATATATATACATCCTATTCTGACCAACGTCATTAAAATTATAGTACATTGAACAATTAACCAATAAGAATAAACTTCAATTGAGGTACAACACTTCATCTCAGGAAGTTGTTTAACATTTATTGTCTTAACATTAGCATAACCTATGCGGATATTTTACTCTTTATCTGTAGACAGAATGTCCCACCTGAATGATTGGGTTTTATGTACCAAGCATCCTTTGAAAGCTGAATAGTTTACTTAGCCGTAATTAATTAAGCAAAGTGAGTTATAAATAAGTTAAACGATTAAGTAAACATCTATGGAACTGGAATTATTCATAAACAATTTTATTCAGTTGGCCGTAATTGATTGGCAGGTAATATAACCTTGGTGATTGCTTATTCATATTGAGCTGATGTCACCTCTAATGTGAGCCCAAGTCTTGGATTTAGCCTAGGCAATCGGCTGTACAGTGTAAGGTTATATTTGAGCTGTTATGAAACGAAATGTTATCACCAGATTCGTCTTCAACATTGAATTATTTGGTTTCTGTTTTACTGATAAACTTTCAATCATTTTCGATGGATTCTACTTCTATTGTTATGTCTGTACTGCAATTCTCTAGTGGCAAAACGTTGAGAGTTCTCACCAGAAAGAAAGGTTGCCGCTCTGTTAAACAACTGTTGCACCTTAGATTTACGAAAAGTACACGGATTGATTAAGCCTTAAATTAGGAATTCCCCTTGATAGTAACTAGACGATTAAAAAACTCGTCTTTGCTGGTCAAAGTTGGCGCTACTGATTATCTTAAGTTTCATTTTGTTGTTAAAACTTTCATAAAAGCATATTTATCACCGCTTAACATTTCATGTCAATTCAGACAGTAGTCCCGATACGTCTCTTGTGTGTGAGGGGGTAATTAATCTTATGGGTTTTGATGGTGAAACTTCTTCGATAAACGTAAAGACAGTTAACAGAAATACTCTACACATATGGCTAGAATCAAATGTAAAGATAACCAGTTCGAGTCAATTAAGTCCATACAATCAACTGATTGGGAGACGGTAATATTGACCTCACTGAAAAACAGTTTGAAAAAGTGGAAACAGTTGGAAGATACATTTCTGTAGCTGCAAAATAACAAACGATAGTTGTTTAGTAGTATAGACTTTAGTATTCCGCATTTCCTCTCACCGTCCAATAAGACTATCACTATATTTGCCTCTTAACATCTGTTTAGGGAAGTCTATTCTCTGTCAGCTATGTAGCTTCGGGAACTACTAAACCTATCTCAAGAACCGTGAGTAACCTTGTTATTGGAGGAGCTATGTAATTTAATACGAACAAGTTAAATGAACATAGTTGTATAGCCACTTCGGATTATAATATGTTACTGGGTATGTGGCTGTCAGATATATTGATTCAATGATAATGGTCAAACGGTGCTTAGTTATGGAACTAATTCGAATGCCTTTGCTGTTTGTATGAACTAATGATTCCTTTGTACTTGATTACCTGCTGATTACAAATTCCAAATACAATACGTTCATTTGTACTCATCTAGTTCTATCTGGCTTAAATTCCACTATTTCGGGAGTTCATTGATAGTACAATGATTCTAATATTTCAAATCATCATAATGTCTTATACGTGATTCTCAATAATTTTTAATTTGTTTGTCTATACATCCACTAATAATGTTCGGTTACCATACTGATGTATAAATACTTGAGACATTACGACACTCAGGACAGTTTGTTTTCATCTCATTATAACGCATATAAGGACAGTAAAATTTAATCCTTGACTTATTTCTCGACGATGAGTTTGGTTGATAATCTAATATCAGTGTTATTTCTATTCTAAAATGGTTGCTAATTATTTTAATTACCATTGTCAATATAAACACAGTTCAATCACTAAGAGATTTAATTTTGGCGCTAACTCAATGCTACTAATTTTCCAATCCAGTTGCGTTCATTTTATCTGGTTTAAATACGAACAATTTAACCCATATTAATAAATACGTGTACTCCGTTCTTCTCACCAATGTCATTCAACATGGAACCTGTGGATGTCTACAGGATAAGATGCATGATATCTGCCATAGATCTATTTAACAGATTGCCAACACGTTATTATTAACCTACTCTGAAGTAGGGGTCACTTTAGGCTATGGCACGAAAGAGGATATCACGTCAACCGTAGGTTGGGACAACGCACCACATGTAAACGTTTCTCAGAGCCGTTTTTCAAAAAATCTTACAATACTCCATTTCTCACCTGATAAGCAGTTCATTTCACATTCTTGACTTTAGATTGATATCGATAATCACATTAAGTTTAACGAAGCATTCACGAAGATCGTGAAAAACTATTGTGTCCTACTACTACTTACTGAGGTAAAAGCTATATGATATTCACAAACTTTAAGAACATTAACGTCTGACGTCAAAAGCTTTGTCCAATACTGAGAAATAAAAAGATTCGTTAACAAGTAATATTGTAGTATCAGTTTATATGTTAAGCCCATATACTTTATTCTAGTTGCTGGCCAAGCCAATTCACCTGTACATTTAGTCATCTTTTGATCTTGTTAATCATTTGCTTATAAACCTTGACTATACTTTTATATGAGCATATATGTGTACACTTCGTATGTTATTCGTCATATGTCTGTCACTCATTTTTGACCGACTATAAATGTTGATTAACGCTTGCTTAAATCGAGTTGGCTTCCCAGCCATCTCCAGTACGCATTATCTTTCGCCTCGCTCTCGAGTTGGTTTACCAGCCATCTCCCATGCATGTCATTTCCGCCTCGTTCGCTTCCTTTGCTTATTCGCCTGTTCACTCGCTCGTTATTATTCGCTCAGGTGTTGTTAACTTTCTGACCTGAGTTATTCGACAATAAACTGTAGTTGCTGCTATCCTTTGTCTTCTGATTTTACGCGCCGTTAAGATTTGAATTATAACGGTCATCTAAGTAAACGATTAACGAATTGCGGCACTACAATATGTGCTCAAGAAACTATTGCACATGATTACATACATTTATTATTTGGTAATTATTATTTTAAAGGCTCCTGAAGCATAAATAGATGTACCAGTATTCTTAGCGCCCTAAAAAAGTAACATAAAAGTCCAATTGTGTCACTATAATTATTTTAGCAGCCATCACGTGGCTAAATACACTGTTGTACTTTGATCTGTCAGACTAGAAACCCATGTACATACGAGTTTTGCTGTCAAAAACATTTGCGAAGGCCTGAGTAGGAGTATGCAGAACATCTTTGAAAGATTCATGTTATTTTGGCCGGAGTATGAAGTATTGAAACCGTATTCCAGCGTTGTCGATGGAGGGTCTTTTATTACCACTGACTCAAGATGATTAGTAGAGTTGATAGATTCCCATAATATTACAACTAAATATATACAGTAAAAGTATATTTCTCGGGGACGCATTTGAATTCTATTAACCCTTTTATGGGTACAATGTCTCTGACAAAGGCTCGATATCTTTGGGGCATAAATTAAATTCGGAAACACACTATTTAGCTGAATGACTCCCGGGTTACTTAAAAGACATGCGAATTCGATTTCATATCTCATAAATGTCTGCTTAACTCAAGGTCGGTTACTAGGCTATTTTCATTAAAACACGCGGTATAAGTGTGAGAATTGTCATTCATTAAGTCTAACCAGCGTAGTCATCAGGGTTTTAAAGAAGATAGTTTACACTTTTTCTGCTGAATTTTAGCCCGGCTGGTTATCACGTGATCTATTCACAATCGTTATGCGACTTATTCGACCTTAGCACTGTGCCAGACCAATGACGTTCGACCAGTATCAGCAACCTAGCGTCCTTATTGGTCATTTCTACTCTTAACTTTTCCAGTTGATTTCAGAACACCAATGGCAATTTCCACTATGAGAATCATTTGTTTCTAACCTACCTGGTTTTTATACCATGCAAGCAGACGGCCCCACACCACAAAATAAGTAATAACATACGCACAAGATTAAGCGAAAAAGTGGCTATGAACGTGGGAGACTGTAATCAATAGACTGAGCATAATTTAAGAATAGTAAAATGTATCTTAATGGTCCCTATGTCAAAATGAAGCTTATAATAAGAAATATATATATAATCTACTTGCTGATGCGATACGATTGTATGTATAACATTAGTTCATTATTAGTTTACAGAAGTTACCCGTAATTTAATCTTCACTAGGATATAGCATTTTTATTTGAGTACCTGTATCTAAGTGCGATAGAGTTTGATAAATACGGTAAGAGATAAAATAATGTGTGTGCCATATACAGCTAAGTCTCATATAAGTGGTATTTTAAGCCACAATATATTGGCTATGTAGTTCGCGCTGCTACACAAGACCTACTCCGGCCCTTTGGGTGATTGAGCTGCTCAAGGTATTTAGAAAGCCACCTATATATAAACAGTAAAATGAAGTTACTCGTAGCTGCTGAGTACGAATTGAACGTAAATAATAATCTAATCTCAGATCCGAATGACACGAAAAATGAAGTTCACAGCAATGTAGTCCATAATAGGCACACCATTGAGTACAGAGGATCAATCGAAATATCGGGCACATGAAGAAGAAACGGCAGGATACAAGGCGCATAAAACTGTCAGTGTTTCTGGACTGAGAATTTGATCCCCGAATCCACTAAGCGGAGAACATGTCAAAGCCCGATGTGCTCAGTGTAGAATGCTTGGAAAAGAAACAAAAGTTAGCAAATAATCGACTAGGAGGACCTTTAGAAAAGAAAAGGTCAAGACCTTACACCTTCAGCCTAACCGGACTGCAAAGAATAGAAGAATGGGAGGACAGATGTTTGGACGCCTTAAAATTGTAAATAAACTTATAAGTGCTGAAAAGCGACGATTCAGGATAGACAACCACCGTCTGTTGAAATGATTGACCCTAATTTGTAGATTTAAACACATTAAAATGTAACATCCACGAAAATTCTAATTCTAAGGTTCTGACCATAAACTCCTAGCACTTTGCCCCTAGTTTTCATACTTCTGAACTTTAACGTCCGAACTTAACACTCCTGACTTAGAACTAATAGCGCAAATATACTGACCTTAAAAGTTCATTTTATCAGGAAACCACCACCCAATGCGCTCGAAATGTGAAACATAATAAAGATAAAGAGTTTTAGCGGTGTGCTATTCTCAACAGTACTTGAAACTTACTTGTCGACTAGCCAAATTGTCATTGGTCGGCCCATGTCGCCTACACTGCATATTCTCACCGAGCAAAGTCCAAGAAAATCAACCTAAGAGTCATCAACCCAGATTTCCAACAGTTGTCAGTTGTTTTTCACAAGGTGAAAACCTTCAGAATAGGAAAAAATGGTGGAGTATGAATACAAACCAAACAGCATGAAAAAGCTAGTTTACAAGCTTCTTCCGTAAATATGAGTAGCAGTTAGTGCGCACTACCTATGTAGATTAGGAAGAAATGTGAATCTAAGAAGCTTTCAGGAATTTTTATTTGGTAAGAAAACTTTCGCCTTCTTCGATAAGCAAAACCTGTTAAAAATTCATAAAACTTTTGAAACCCGAATATATATGTGATCATCAACAGTGACCCAAGTGATTATTTGTAATGACGGTTTCCAGAAGAAAAACAAAATGGTGAGAAAAATGACAAGGATAAGTGTACTTGCATTTTCAGGTTTCAGGTGGAGTTGATCCTTAAACTAGCCTGAGTGGTATGAAACAGTGCTTCACAGAAAGGATAGCTTTCATACAAATGCTCTCAGTTTACATGACAAGATGGCGAGGATTGGAAACGTAGTTAGTACGGAGCCTTTAATGCCATCAGTGTCTCGGAATCACGGATCAGGATTAATGATGGCGAAATTCAACTGTTGGATTTCCTAATTTCTAAGTTCAATGAACTAAACGATATAGGAGGCAGCGTCGTTCTGTGCCCGGGAAACACTAACCATACCAGCTCTCATGACAGATCGATTGCTTTGTAGATTTATTCCCTTTAGCATAATTAAGAGTAGGGAACACGTAACTATTCTATCATATATATCTTTGATCTTGTCAGCCACTCACTTGCAACTATGACCTTTGTAACGTAAATAATAATAACAAATGTGTATGATAGCATGTGTCCATCTACTTACTGTCTTTTTTACACGACTTGTATAACATGGGTCATATTGTATTCTGATTCTATTCATCACTGTTAAATACCAACATATATATACGTATACGTGTCCTAAGAACGGTTCTTATTCAGTTTTCACCATCTAGGCTAGTTTGACCCAGTAAAAATGATTATACCATCAACTTAATATCGATCTTTTATTATCTAGTCAGCTATGGATGCTAAAAATATAAGGGGTTGGATATCGACCTAATTGTATTGGGTCATTGTACGATATTAGTGATAGGTGATTTTTTAAGTAAAATGAAATCTTGTTCAAGGAGATTCGGGACATTTCGGAAGGTGACATTAATACACCCTATTTATAGTGAATTAAATTAGAGCTGTGTTTATTGGAAAAATAGTTCCATTGCAAATTTCTACAAAGCAAAATTGCGTTAGCTTAAGTTCAGGATTTCACCAAATATGACTTACAGTACTCTTGTTTTTTTTCAGAATCTATTCCATGGTAGGTAGACATAAGGATGAACTCCGCAGATACAACTGAAGACCAGAAAATTGACTCGGATAGACCAGTGAAAGTCATGGAGTCACAAGTACTATTGCTGATTACATTCTGAACGGTGACAAAGAAGATAGACAACTATCCTGAATAAATCAGGGGAACGCAATGGACAATAAGGAGGAATAAAATAGGCTTATATGTTGAAGTCAGTCTTTCCACAGCAAATGGATGTGAAATTACAAGTCGACTCGGAATATGTGTATAATCATTTTCTTTGTAGCACAGAGAACATGTGAAAACCAACTGCATTAATAGCAATCAAGCAGTCGGAGCGTCTGTTCTTATATGAATTACAGGCCGAGAGTGAACTCGTGGTTTCTCAATTTATTTACCAAGGGAAATGGATTTCATATGAAAGATGAAGACCATAATTGAGCAGAAAAGATAAATGATTATTTCGAGCCTCCCATATACTCAGGACTAACCCCAAGAGCATTATCACCAAATCGACTACCGAGTGAGGCTTTTTGTCATTAGAAGTACAAAAGTCAAAAGGACCGTAGACGCACTGGGATGTACATGCCTACTCAAATCAATATGATATTCACTATCCTACTCAACTAGAGTTGGTTACCCATAAACAGTAAGGATGCACATGTTAACTCAATTCATAAGGTAGAATCAAGATAACTTTCTTGAAACATCAGTACAATATTTGATAAAGTAGTACATGATAGGCGGCTACTGAAACCCGACAATCTAGGAATTAATGAGCTACTGCTAGTGTGGATGATAGACTTTCTTCAAGGTTGCTGAGAAAAATAAGTATAAATTCCAACTGTTCTCTGTGAAAACTAGTATTTGTGGAGTTCTGCAAGACTCCATCGTAGGTCCTTTACTTTTTCCATTTAATGTAAGATAACTTTGTATACTGAGAGGCGGGCATTTGGAGTAACATGAGGTCTGCAAAAGCAACGAGCAAAATAGAAGGGGAATCGACAACCTAGCGTAAACAATGAACTTACATTCACTGCGTAATGCAGTATAGAGCTGACTGCAGTAACAAGCTTCAGATTAGGACAATCTTGAAATAGAAACTATAAATAGATAGCTTCACCCACTACAATGATTGCCGCCCGAAATACTCATCCCCTTCCTTCAACATAGTTTAGTAAAACTCAGAGGGAACAGCGTGTGGGTTCGAAAGCCGATTGTTTAAAATAGCCTCAGTATAAAGATTTTCATGATGAGTAACCAGGTCTTGGAGTCTACTTTCAAAAGAAATGGTGTCCACCATATCAATCTGCTAACTGATTGGATTATAAATGCACAGAAGCTTACAAAAATTAACTAACACGTTTCAAAATCCTTCTATCGTCAATATTCGCATCGAAAATTCAAGGTCAAATGTTGCCTCACTCTTTTATACGTGCGTTACGTAAGGTCTCGTGCATGCTTATTAGTGTCTCTTGCTATTAGCTTTCAGTATTATGTTTAAGTTTATTCTAGATGCATAATGGTTCATTGAGTCTATGTTTTTGTCTCTTTTCGTTTAGGTGCATAATTAATTTCCTCATATTATTAACAATTAACTTTCAATCAGTTAGTAAACTTTTCAATAGCTGTACATTTACTTTGTCTTTATAAGCATGCCGAAAAAGGTAGCCAAAGTTGATAACGTTGATACAACCAAAGAAATTTTTAATCTTGAGTTAGAAGGATTTCCGCCGGATGTTAGTGATCGTGATAGCATTACAATCTTGTTGAAGCATCTTTTCCCTAACAACTGTGTTATCAATGTTGACAATCTTGCCGAATATATTGTAACACAAGACTCAATTGGTACTGTAGTTAAACCTACATGTGATGATGAAAGCGATGATGATAGTGACGATGACAACATAGTTTTTGCAGTGACCAGCGTAGTAGATTTAAGCCATGAATCAGCTGTGAAACACTCTGTAGTCAAGGACCTTAGAAATTTCATTCTTGAGGGAGTAAAAGCCTCAAAAGACGTTCCGATGAGATGTAAGGTCGAAGAGCTTCTTGATAAGGATACGGACTGCAAATCATTTCTACTTATTAATGAACGGTTCGAAAACCTACCTCTTTCAATTTGTGCTGAAGCTGTTTCTGCCTTACCATCTGAATTTAAATCCTCTAATTTACTTCCTACTCATCTATTCATTATATCATGGGCATATTCAGAAGAAGCCAAAGACAATGATAAGAAATATGAATTCGCATATCCTGAAATTGAATTTATTGTTCCCCATGCTCTACACGTGTTGGAATTAGATCACAACAGTCTTACTCGTGATGGTGCAAAGATAAAACAAAGTAGCGATGGCGATGATGATGAAAGAACGAACGACTTTAATACTTTGCTATTGATAGTTATCCCAATGGACAGATTCCATGATATGTTAACTTCCCTGGCTAGTCACGTGTAAATATACTGAGTTTGCAACTGTTGTTACTATTTTTAATGGATGTGTATCCGGGTATGCCTCCCAAGATGAAGTTAACTTTTCTTCAGTTTCTGGTCTTTCAGGGAACAAATACGTGAAACCAATATGTAGCTTTAAGTGGTAAAATTTCCGTCAAAATGAGATTTCGCTTCACTTATTTTCTTTCATATAGGGAGTACCTAAAACAATCAGCAAATAGTTTGGTCCGTTGTTTTGGTTTCGTACATTCAGTCATCCCAAAGATACGTAACCTAACTTAGTAGTAAAAATAGTTCGATTATTTTCTCAGGCTTTTTTATTTGTTTTTTTTTCAGACGTTAAATATCTTTGTAAGGGTAGTATGTTAGCTAACGATACAGGTTTATTTTATTTTGGTTTGCTGGTAATAAATAAATGAGTCGACTGTTGAATTATCGTGCTATATGCATTTCTAGTATCAGTTCCTACTCGTTAGATGCAAAATTTTGACATATCCTATCTTGATTAGAAAATGAAGGGATGAATCAATAATAAAATATAAGGTTGATGTCATTTGATGACCTACAAGGTGAGAAAGTTTAGATGTTAAATGAAATTGTAAGATTAATGATCAGAATATGGGTCAGATAGGTGGAGGGAAATAATAGTGAACTTAATAATCCGATTAAATGTTTAATGGGAAACTATATTGTCCATAAAGTTATACAAGTTCAGTAAGAAACAAAGCTAGATGAGTAGTAAGTAAATTAATCGCGTGCTTGTAAGATAATTAGTGACGTTGAACAAATAAGAGCAATAATAACGCAAAGATATGTGAATAAAAGTAAAAGCAATTATATTTGACCACGAAAGCTTGATCCTACATTGTTCAAACTTAATTATGCTATAGTTAAAACCGTTAGTGATTTACTACCTCTTGGGTTGGCCAATTTGTAATTTTGTTCTGAAAATTTGAATTTTATGTTTTCACACGAAGGGAAGCTTAGTTGACCTACAGCTTACATTTCCCACTCGGAAGTCCTTGACTATCATTGGTTGACGGATTTTTTTAGTACTCTATTTTGTTGCTCCTCCAAGGGTGTTTCTATCAGTGTATAAATAAGCTTGATTTGCGTTCTTAGTGACCTCGTATTTTCTGGGTGCTTGTAGAATACCTTCTTGATCTAGTTAGCAGGCTCGGGGACAACGGATTGGAATAGCCTATCGTGTCACTGTGTCTTTGACCGTTCCGTTTACCGAATAAGGTGAACTCGTAATAACATCATGCATATCACTGGCCACGCATAAACAGCCACTGCCAGGGAAGTCCTACTCACTGCCTTCTCGAGACAGGGGTGTCGTTTACGAAATTCAGAGGACGGGAAGCGAATGTTCGGTGCTTTAACCCGGTTGGTGGATATAGAAGATCCAACTAGGTGAGTTGGAAAACCCTGATTCCAGACCAATGGTGAACATGGGCTTCAAGATCCTAAGGGAACAAATGGTGTATGAACCTATTGTTAGTCACCAGTTACCATGGGACTGCATCTACTTACGTTGCTCCACTGTCTTATGGATCAGACCTTTAGGTCGAAGGCTCTGGGTGTGGCCTGAGGAAACCACCTACTTCAGTTTGTGCACCCGGGCAGTGTTGTAGCCCACACACAAATCGAACGATTTGTGTGGTGCATATGTGTGTATGGTGTCCATTTGTAACAATATTTATGTGTTCAAATAAAATAATAAATAGAAGCTAATATTTTAGACATTATGTAAGTTAAACTTATTCCCCTGTGATTGTCACTACGAGCTTTTCGTCCTTTCTTATGGACGTACGACCAACGATGGAAACCAGTCTGATAAGATTATGTTGGTAATAATACTTATAAATTGTGATTCGCTTGGATATATCTGTATGCTAATTTATGGAGATTCTTATAAAGCCACGTATGTGTTCCTGAAAGATTGAATACATAGTATAAATGAAATTTCTCGTCCCTCTTTCTACTTAAGCGTACAAATACATTATGTCGGTTAATTGTCAATAAAGATGAAACGTGAAACATGTAAGCTTTTATATTAACTGCCTTCAAATGTGGAAAATATTCATTTGCAGTACTGTGTAGCACCGAGTCACTTTTAGTTGAGTGGTCGCAATGCAGATCTAGTCAATAAGTTTAGGTCTTAACGTGCAGTAATTATTATTATTCTCTTTTACAGTTTCACTATAAACACTTTTCACAGCAGTAAAACTAAGTAACGTAATTGTATTTACGTCCATATGCAAGTAAGTACAGACAAGGAGAATGTAAAGTAGCTGAATATATGGAATTGTGGCCTAGTGGTCAATGCATTCGACTTTCTACCGCTAAACCCCACATTCGAATGCCTCTTTACTGATGGTATCACTAGCTTTTGCATATCGGGTGTGGCTCAAATCCAAGTGTATAAATCATTACCTGTTGAGTGAGTTAGTAATAATATTAAATTGTTTGCAAACTCGTGTTGCGCAAATGAGAGTACACCAACCTTATTTCAAAACAAATATGCATCCTTGGAAATATAAGACAATAATATTGATGAATGAATCTTTATTAATATTATGGTGCAGTTAATAACTTTGTATTGATTGGTAAAGAACCGAAAAGAAGCATTTAACTCATTGCTATGAAAATAAAAATGACCAAAGTAATACTTTTAACAATAAAATATGAAATAAATGTATGACTGAAAAATGAAATGTAATGGTCAATTTGATAAAAAAAAGTCATAGATTTCTCAAATGATGGGGAGAATTCGTGGTTTGGGTGGATACTTCTGGTCGTGTTGTGTTTTCAAATCTCTGTGCTTTAACTGCGAGGTTTTTGTTATTATTCTGAACCACACCATTAGGGCTTACTAAGCCTCCAAATTTTCATGTTTTTTTCTATCGAATTTGTCTGCGCATTACATGCGAAAATTCAAATAATGCAAAGGGGTATTTGGACGTATGCAAATCAGGTCAATCTGCAATCAGTATATGTATCGACATAGACCCTAATTACCATTGTATACAATGTGTTGTATTAAAACGTCAAGCGAACAAGACATCCATCACAAATACGAGAAAAATGAGGCTGACGAGACGTTCAAAAACAATTATTCACAAAAAGCTTGTGGAATAATTAATATACTTCTATGCAAAGTACGCTTTGATGATGTCTAAAACAGTGACGAAATCTTCACAATCGCATCACGATGCTCGGAGAACACAGCCTAAATCTATAACTAATCAACGTTTTCATGTCAAGGATTAGACTTCAAATACAAAACTCAGTTTAGATTATACATAATCTAGCTTTGGTTAGTGAGAAAGCCAGCAATATGCATACTCTTGTTATAACCATGAATAACAACATGAAAGTGTTTGATTTATTGCCTAGTGACTGGCTTACAAGAATAGTTACTTTAACAATAGTGAGCGAAGTAGTTAATTGTATTATCCACTTCAATTTTATCAACTTTGGTTTTTTAGTGGTTAACCATATCAGTTACGGGAAGTGTGCTTGGTGTTCTGCAATTTGTCTGTATCTGTGTATAAAAGAATGGGTATATCATGCAGCAGTTAGATATGATACTTCATACAGATGTGTAATGATACACTCAAAAGCAGCGTATATGTTTGTACTACACTTGGCAGCATATAATTAAGTTGATGAAAAGTAGGATGTATGGCATTATCTCACGAACTTATTGACTGCTGATCTAAGCCGCATTGTAAAATTCAGACTTTCTGCTTTTCCTGATTGTGAGACTTCGATTTGGAGACCTTAAATGGCATTGATCAAAAGTTACTCCAATAATGTGTGATATATTTGTTTTCTATGATCGTCTAGAACTGAATATCCCATACTTTACATTTATAAATAGCCTTCAATTCCTTTTCCAACTATGGTTACAAATTTTTAATTTTTCATCATCACTGAAACAACTGTGTTAAGTAGTTTTACTGAAAAGTTCAATTAATTTCGTTTACCTTTTCTTTAATAAGAATTATAGCAATTTGATTTTATCCAGGTTTATAGTTGTTTATATTTATTTAACCTCTGTCTCGTTTTTCTAATGTTGCTTAGTTAATCAATTTACTCCGGTGACATACATTTAAGACTTTTTATTTCATTAAACTACATTTTGACTCTGTGATTTTATGTACTAGGTTTATTCATTTGTAAAAGGAACGTAAGACCTAGAATAGATAACTATCATTCAAATTTGCTATAACTCATGTCAACAAAGCAAGGGCAAATTTATAATACGAAAAGTAAAGTGGTCGGATCACCAACACTATCAGTGTCGAAGACGTTGTCCAGAACGGTAATGATGAATGTGCCACAATCGCACCATTCAACTCATGGAAAGTGACACTCCCAAATAAATGTATAGCATTAAAGCCATCAAGTGTGTACTGTCCCAAAAGAAGTTGTACATTGTTTTGTTAAAGCGCTAATACTACAGGTTGACAAAAGCAATTTACTCTCTCTTCTGTAGCGCAAATATTAAACCTCAAAGTCAAATAAAGTCACTTGTTAAGCATAGATATCAACACACACCAAACAAGAGGAAATAAGGGTGTAGATGAACATTCATAAGAGCGACCATCGAAGTGGTGCATATTATTAAAGGTAATCGTCAAAATTGATGGTAAAATTCTTTAGGTCGTGAAATTTGTCCATCCGCCTCTATGACTAATAAAATGGGTAGTTCTTCAAATATTCAATGATAAGTTTATTTTTGACAGGTACTGTAATTTCCGAGCCTAGTAATAACTTATTACCGCAGTCATGTTTTCTGATATGCTTATTTTGAACAAGAAGATTGAAAATCTAGTTTACATGCTTAATAGGGAGTATTGATGTTCAAAAAATGTACTTTTTGAATAACTGAAATATTCTCCTATGATATCACTTTCCTTCTTATTTCAAGGAATTCACCCGTATCTGTCAGTAAATGTGAATTCTTCAAAGGTAACAGACAAATCGAGCATTTTGAAACAAACTAAACTCTACTTCTGCCGGATGACTTGGAGTTCCTTTTAGA